CTTCCTCATATCCTGAGCCTTCTGCCTGGAGCAACCACAAGCAATCTTAGAAATGCAGGATTACTGCAGCACATAATTGTCCACTGTCCCAACTCCCACTTGATAGTAAACTCCTCAAGAGCAAATGATATAAGTTTGTATCCCACGTTGCACACACAGTAAACCTTTAATAAAAGTCTGTGAAATGTGCAAACATGCATGTGTTTTGCCTTTCCAACAGACAGTGGTCCTAGGAAGGCAGAGAACCTGTCACATGTTCCTTTTAAATCCTCTAGAGCAGCTACCATGCCAGTTGGGCAAATCACTAAGCATTCAAGGATTCAGGGCACACGTATGAGTGGCCCACACATTCTCTTAAGGGCTGCTCTTCTGTAGAAGTCACAAGATGCAGTCTGAAGACCTAGGCTCCAGCTTTGTCTCACTCCCTGCTGTGAAACGCTGGGTACCCTAGCTTAATTCCCTAGGCTTGTTTTCTTCAAAATATGGGTAAGAAAGACTTTGCAGGTTATCACAAAGGTAAAATAAGACTGAGGGAACCACCATATAGATAAATGTAGACTACACTTACGAGGGACAACAGAAACTCTATCAGGAATTACCGTTTGCAGAAAAACGATTCTGCCTTCTCAGTGGATCCCACCCCAGGACACAGCAGCCATCAAGCTACTATCCTTATGCTGTTCATGTTACCTTTACTTATCTCCTAAGCTTGAAGTACCACAAGAAAACAAGGTTTTGGTATTCAAAATGGAGAATACAGCCCAGGCCTAACCCAAATGCAATCCTTGGACAAGTGCCCTGGGGCCACTTTACCTCTGAATCTTCAGCACAACTTAAATAGGGCAAAATAAAGGCTAAGTCAAAGCCAAGGCCAAGAACTGGATAAAATTTTTTAAAAAAGAAAACCAGTGTTCGTGATCTAAACTGAAACCAATTAAATGGACTGCTTAGGGAACTATTTTTAGAAGAGTTTCCTAATGGTCTAAAATTAACCAGAAAAATATTTTATTCTAGCCTCTCTTTAAATGAACGTTTATTAGTCTAGGTATCTAACTTTGCAATTTAGTAAGCATAGTATAATGAATATAATTGCATCTTTGTTTATAGAATTCACCACCATTTGGCAGGAATGGTCCTGAGACGATCCAAGCATCAGATGAGTGGCTGACTTAGATAAACATTAAGACCACCTTTGAATCTGACCACCTGAGATCTGAGTAACTAGTGCATTAATGTACACAAATCAACATCAGTCATCATTGGACGTTATAAAATTATATATTAATATAAAGCCAAGACATATACAGCATAGTGGTTCAGATTGTAGGCAATGGGATCAAACTGTCAAGATTTATATATTCATTCTGCCACCTGATAACTGTGATTTTGAGCAAACTGCCTGTTTCCTCACATACAATTGGGAATAAAAATCTCGTTGAATTGCTAGGATTTAAAAAGTTAACACATTGCATGTGCTTGCAACATACTAGATGCTCAAGAAACATCATTTATTATGCTATTAGCTTAATGTGTCAAAATGCTAGGGACTGCGCATGCATCCTTTCGAACAATCTTTTAACATGTTCACAGTCGGGCCGTAATTCACAAGTCTTGCTGCTGGTTGGCTTGAACCACCAGTGTACATGCATGACTGTCCTGTTGGATGCCTTATTAATTCTATTAATAAAGAGACAAATAAAAGCGATTAGATCTATTTGTACCACCAATGGTAAAGGCAGCTGGACTGTACACGCACACACCAGTGGTTCAAGCCAGCAAGACGAAGTTAAAGCAGGAAGCAGCTGATGATGTTAAAGGAAACTGAAGCTCAGAGGATGAGGACCTGACCCAAGGTCAGTTTCTCAGGTAGGGCTTGAACCCAGGGCATGCTGTCGTGTTGTTTCTGTCATAGCACTGTTTCCCCAAAGCTGTCGAGAAGGAAATTGAGTTGAACTTGCGCTCAACTAACATATCATACAAACTGCCTTATGAGATAATCCTGGAACCCGCTTGCTTTTTTATACTCTCCATAATGCTCACTTACTTATGGTTATTTCTACTGTGAGTAGATGAGGGAAATTCAGCTAACTAAAACTTCCTCAGGTGTTTCTCGTCTTAGATCTTTTGCTGTTCTTCACACAGGATTATGACTTTGGCCCATTATGATTATCTCAATTTTTTCCTGAATTAAGTCCCTCATCTACCATTCATCTAAACACTTTCAACTGTTACATGCTGTTTGTGCCGGCCCTGTCCTCTAAAATGGTAATTTCCAGATTCTTGCAATCCCAAGTATCTTGTCCCAGACTAAACATAACCAGCACTCAACAACTGCTTAATGCTCTGGATTTGAATGATCCAAAGCAGACACTAAACTAAGTGGTTTTTCCATTCTTTAACAGTCCCAGAAAAGACACGCCATATGGAAGAACCAGGAGAAAGTGAGTTTAAAAGACTGTAAGAAAGAAGCCAATGAAGAACCAGTCACAAAAAACTTTGAGCAGCAAAAAGAAGGTGGAGAGCCAAGGAGAGCCTTCAAGAAACAAGGAGTCTGGCACGGGCAAGAGAAAAATAAAGGAGGAAAGGAGTGCAGGGAGTCAGACAACATTTAAGGTTTAAAATGGAAGGGGAATTCTAGAGTTAAGGCAGGTTCTGATCCAATGGAAAATTATTGGATCAGAAGTTTCACCAAGTTTCTCTGGCTAAGGAGCCTGGGTGGCAATCTGTGGGTGGCCTACAGTTAAGAACACAAAAAGCTGGACAGAGATACAAGTGGAGAGAAGTGTCATGCAGAGGGAGTGGCAAGTCAATCCTAAACGCAGTCATCTGGGTACAGTGTGCCCTTCAGAGAGGGCATGGTGACAGCATGGGCTAATTTACAGAGCTGCCAGGGCAATAACTCAGAAAGCAACACTGTCTCCTCACAGCAGAACGAGGCTGCCCGTGAATGTTTCACAGTGGTAAAAGCTGCATTATAGCATGCTGAGGTCCCGGAACCAATGAAAGAAGACAAGTTTACCAAAACGAGTTTTGACACAGAGTACGTTTCTGGCAAATGCATTATTAGGCAGTCATTCTACTCATGTCCTGAAGAAACTATTTAGTTTCCTTATAAGGCCCTTCTCTTCAGCTCTTCCCTGTGTAAAAATGAATCTCTTCTTAAAGAAACAAGGAGTGCAAAGGAACTGTTCCACTCATCCATCGCCCCACTCCATCAATGTTTTTCAGGGAGGTAACTGCAGGCCCTATCTCTTGAACATCAGAAGGCTACGAGGTTTTGAAATCACTCTTAAAAACTGATTCTACTGAAGAAACCTAAGCTAATGGAGGAAGGGAAACAATGCGAGTGCGTAAGCTGGCTGCCAGAATTAAATTAAGCAGTGTGAGTTTAACTATGACAGTCACCTTTAATTCTGTTAGAACATTAATACTACATACTAGCCCTAAGATACAGTGTACATGCATGGGCAGAAACACTATTATGGCACAGGAAACTCACAGTAAACAGTAAATGCCAGCTCTTAATGGAGAGTCAACTTCTAAATTTGTTTGCTTCTTAAAATTTTTCAATTGGCCCCCTTACCTACAGCTCTAATCTAAACTCCTTAGCCGGACCCAAACTTCACTTCTCATACATTTCTCTCTCACTATTTTCAAATTTTACAACCCCTTCCCCTCTCCCTGCCATGGTCCTGTGCCTGTAATATCCTTTCCACTTCTCTTTGCTTGATAAAATCCTAGTTATCATGTAAAGAACTGGTTGGTTTCCATAGTGAAAATGGTCATACTCCTGAAATTGTTATACAGATTTAATGCAATCTCAATCAAAATACCATTAGTTTACCTCACAGAACTAGAAAAAACACTCCTAAAATTCACTTGGAACCAGAAAAGACCTAGAGTAGCAAAAACAATTCTAGGCAATAAAGACAAGGCAGAAAGCATCACAATCCCTGACTTGAAACTATACGATGAAGCTAGTGCTATAAAAACAGCAAGATACTGGCAAAAAGCAGACCTGAGAATCAATGCAACAGATTAGAAGATGTAAAAACAACTCCAAATACAGTCAGTCACCTTATCTTTGAGCAAAGGGCCAAACACACTCCCTAGAAGAAAGCCTCTTTAATAAATGGTGCTGGGAAAACTGGCTTTCCACATGATTAAAACTAGGTCCACGTCTCTCACCATGCACTAAAATAAAAATTAAAAAAAGATCTAAATATTAAAAACAGAAACAATCTACCAGAAGTGAGAATAGGTGGAATTCCTAAAAGAGACAGGTATAGGCAAAAATTTCATGAACAAGATCTGGGTGTGGTCAGCACCCCGGACACTGAGGCAGGAGAATTGCCATGAGTCCAAGGCCAGCTTGAACTGCATAGTGAGACACTGTCTCAGAAAAGAAAAAAGTAATAAAAAAGATTTCATGAACAAATCCCGATCACATGAGAAATAAAGAATCAATATCCTATTAAAAACTTTTTGCACAGCGAAAGAAATCACCAAGGGAGTAAAAAGACAACATGTAGAGTAGGAAAAAATGTAGTCAGTTGTCCCTCAGAGTACTAATACCTAGAACATAAAGAGAATTGAAAAAAATCAGACTCCAAATTTAAAGACCCAATACATTACTTTAGTCTTGACAACCCATAGTAGCTCATTTTAGTTTTTGTTGTTGAAGGACCTGAGTCTCAGAAATTTGCCTAAGGTCACAAAGCTAGCAAGTGATGAAGCCAAACTAATACAATGTGCAAGATCAGGAGGACTAGATTTTCTTTTAAATGAACTAAAAAATGAGGTTGGCTGAAACTAAGATTTCCCATAGGACTGAAAAAATGATTAAGGCAGCAAATAACTTGTCCACTGCAGACTATGGGTATGCAGTTTTAGCAACATAAACTGAAAACCAGCCTTGTTCCTGTTCAGAATTTAGAGAATTGCACACATTGCTGCTGGCCTGTCAAATAACAGATTCATCAGACATTCGGTTTGAAGCATCCCTTTAAAATAACTCCTCAAATTTATTTAACGCATGTGGATAACATGGTAGAGTCCTTTATTTAAAAAAAAATATATCATTGCTCAACACTCACTAAGCCTTGCAGACAGTTTAGGAAGCATGATGGGCACAGAGATCACAGGACTTGCATTATCCTTTGAAAGCTGGAATTCCAACTCACACCAGATTTTTCCAATTCAAATTCAGTTTTATTAGAGATCCCAGCATAATATTTTTTTTTTAAAAAAAGACTGGATTGTTGCTTTTTAATTTTCCATTCCTATTTAGAAAAAAATGTCTAGAGGCAATGACAAAAATAACCATTTAAAAGGGATTCTTCCCCAAAAGTTTTTGTCAAGCTTTAAGTCCAGGCTTTCCACTCTTTTTCATTCTAAACAAAAAGGGGTTTGGAGTATGTCAGCCTTCACTTGGCTTACTATACAAAACCTCTCCCTTCTTAAGTCCTACACATAATGCCAGGACCAAGCCTCTGGCCTTTTAATAAAGTTCACACTCTGATGCTAAAGAAGCTTGTTTGAATCCCAAAGTCAGTTACAATCCTAATCTTCAACAGCCGACAGCTGACTGCATCACTTACGACATGTACCAGGCTAGGACTGAAGAAGTGGGTCAGACGTCCTTTGTCTGCTCTGGGTGAGTTACGTCAGCAGTTGAGCCTGTGTTCCCTTTCCCAGAGCTCACTGTGCTGCTCGCGGCCACACTGCCTCTACGCACTGATCTTACTGAAGATCCTACTGTTCAGCCGCTCTGAAAGTTGCTTGAAAGATAGTGGAATAAATGATTTCCCCTAAGTGTGTACAAAGAAAAAATATCTACTGTTACGACCTACTAATCACTCAGCCTCTCCATCTCTTTTTTGGACACCTGTACTGTCAGGCAGATGAGGAGTTGAAAATACAAAGGACTAACATCTGTATATAAATATGTGCCCTAAATTCTTCGTTAATTAACTTCCCTTGAAACTGCTGTTTCTGAACATTCCATTTCCTTGAGGGAAAAATTCTATACAATGTTGTACAATGCATGTAGAAGCATTTCTCCTTTTCAATCTTCATCTCACTGTACAGTTTCGCTCTCCAGGCACTAACAGGGGGCAGCAGGAAACCACAAAGGCACAGCACACAGCCCCATATCAGCAACACAACAGCTCCTTCATCACCGTGCTGACTCCCAGTAATTTCTGGTGAAGCTGGATACATCACTAAATTTCTATTTGTTCTCTGCCTGAGGCTTTCCCTAACCACTAAAAGCAAGCAAAGGTCTAGAGAGCTTTTGGGAAAGGGGCAAAACATAAGCCACGGCCTGGTCTGCAGCCAGGTGTCAGTGTACTCTATAATGGAAGAAGAGGATCCCGGGAAGATTTTTGTTTTGGCTTTTAGTTCAACCAAAATTTAAAAATGTACAGAAAACAGTTTTATGGGACTAGGGGACAGAAGTGTCACAGTCAGGAGAGAAGGTTGGGGAGAATAAACACATTCGGTAGAATTCAGGGATAAACACATCTACACAAGTTCACAGAGTGCAGAGGAATCTGAAGGGATTTTCCTGAGCAGTAAGAAGTCAGCAGTGAGCCGGCAGAGTGGGGAAATCTGTACTTGTCTGGATTTAATTCTGAGTGCAGTCTTCTAAGTTTGTGCTTTTTAAATGTCATTAGAAGGTAACGGCTTTTTAAACATTCTTTTGCCTTCTGTTTCTAGGTGACTCCCTTTAGGTTAAAAAGCAGAAACAGCATAAACTTCACAGGATGGAAGGACAGTCTCTCAATGCGGGTGAGGCCAGAAGCCGATGACAGATGGACTTGCACGTAAGTGACAGCCTACACTTCCTGGTCGTCTTCTACCACTCTGAGTCTCTGACCTGCCAGAGGTGGCAGCTTAGCTCCCCTCTGGAAGAAGCCAGTAATGGATACTTGTCTGTTGGCTTTGCCCAGAGCAGCAGTCCCTTTCTTGGAGTTCTTTCGTTCCTCTTTGGGCTCTTTTTTCACAGTCATGACAGGGGGTCTGTGTCCAGAGGATGTCTTTGTCTTAAGCTCCTCTTCACTATCAGTGCAAGATTCGCTTTCATAGAATTTTTCAGTCACTAGAATAAGAAAAAAGGGACATGAGTGGGTTTATCATGAGACTTATTTATCAGGAAAATAAGTATCTTGCTCATTTGAGGAGTCTTGTCCTCGTGGAGATAACATCTAGCCTTGAGTAAAAAGTGTGGGGGATCCTGAGTTCATGTAGCCTCTAAGAATTGATTCCTCCTCCTTCATTGTTATGTCCCATGTCATTAAATGAGACCTTTTCATTAATTTCCCAGATCTTTTGAGCCCTGGTCTAAGCCAGCTAACTTCCTGAGCTCTATATTTGGCCTGTTTGTATCTCAAACACTTACTGTAACACTATGCTTTGACAAGCTTCTGTGTCTTATCTCTATGACTCATGGTGCTTGCTGACTGCCACCGCCTGGTTTTCTGCTTTTCAATCTTGGGCCCCACATTGGCCAGCGAGACTCACTGCCACAGATCCCCTTTTAGCACTATGCTGCCATCACCTACTCTGCACATCTGAAGTACAGGGAGTTGGACATTATTATACCAGCCTTCAGTTCTTCATTTGAATGATTACTAACTCACCCAAGATTTAGTAATAGCCTATATCATAAAGATAACCCTCACATAGATCACACACTTGGTGGTTTTGCGTAAACAATCTGAATCTGAGGGTTGAACAGAATCCAGCAATCTGTGTTTTAACAAGCACTCCAGGTGATTCTGATCTATGGTAAAGTTTCAGAGTATATATATCACACACTATATATTAAAACACAAGTATATTTGATTCTAAAGCCTATGCCTCTTGAAAATTTGACTAATATATTAGAAAAATGATCAATAGTTAAGATTTGATAAAGTGAGAAACAAAGTTACCAGTTTTCTTATTCCTCACCAGCTAAAGTCATGTCTTTCCTTCTGTCATTAAAACTAGCCAAGCCCTTCCCAAAGGGAAACCTGGACAGAAACTTAGCAGTGAGCAGTCCTTATGAGCAAGCCCCAGAGGGTCAAGACAAAACAGTGGCTCCAACCATGACACACAACTATCGAGGGTCTCTCGGTACTACTGGATTACTCTCGCCCACCACGAGTCGCAGCACAAGGCAACCTTCTATACCTTTACAGAGCTCCAACAGCAATGTCATCTGCAGCAAGTGATAAAGTAACAGTGAAGAAAAGCATAACTGAAAACACTAATATACTCTGCACCATCAAAGAATGTAAGAGAATAAAGAACAATGATGATTTCAAGATCTTAACTACAGATAATTCTAATAAATATGTAAGACAAATTGTTCTAGAGGCATAAACTTTAGAATTAAATATGTGTTCTAATATCTAGCCTGCAATTTAAGACACTCTCTTAACTACAATATTCATCAGAATCACATGGAATGCTTGTTAAAACACAGACTGTTGTATTTTACTTCCAAAGTTTCAGATTTAGTAGGTCTAGGGCAGGATCTAAAGTCTTTTTCAAAAAAACAAAAAATAAAACAAAAACAAACTGGGTATGGTGGCGCATGCCCGTAATCCCAGCACTTGGGAGGCTGAGGCAGGAGTAGCATTTCAAATTTGAGACCAGCCTAAACTACACAGTGACACCTGGTCTCAATAAATAAGTAATAATAAAACATGCTTCTGGATGACAATGATGCTGCTCATCTGGTGATGACACCATGGAGTCAATGTTCTTTCGCGTTAAAATGGGGTAACAGTGCTCCTTGGGATATATGATGTACCCACCAGTTTCGGGCAGGTCTTCAGTGCTACACTTTTCTTTACAATGGACTGTGGTGAAGGAAAACTGACCGCTGCACCGTAGCACTCTTTCTCCTTCGTCCACCTAATCTTAGCAGGGTTACATAATTAACAATCCCCTCCCCAAGAGTTCACAGAATTTGTCTTTAAATAGTCTAAAACTCACTTGGACGATTCTTGGTCACTTAAAAAATATTAAGCTTTAAATATATATTAAGTGGATTTTAAAAATTCATTTTCTATGATTGTTTGCATAACTAAAATTTACAGGTATCAATAATAATTTAGGAAGTGATTGAATTATAATATACAATTCTCCAACAGAAATACTGAGGTAGGGAGGATCACAAATTTAAGCCCAACCTGGCCACTAAGACTCTGTCTCAAAATTTAAAAAAAAAATTTTTTTTAAAGGCTACCATTATTCCAGCACTTAAGAGACTGAGGAAGGAGGTTCTGTCAGGAATTCGAGGCCAACTTGGGCTACACACAATGAGTTCAAGGTCAGCCTGAACTATGCAGTGAGACCCTGTCTCAGAACAACCAAAAAATATATAAAATAACAATAAATAAATAAAAAGAGCTAAGGATGTTGTTCCACGCAAAGGCTCTGGATTCTAATGAAAGGGAAAGATAGTACTCTATAGGATATAACTGTATGTATAAGTGTGCATGATAGATAACCATACTACTAAGTTTTTGTTAGTTCATCAAACAGAATAGTTTGTAACTGTCATTGTTTGATTGTCCATTTTTTATGCTTTGATTTTGTACCTTGAATAAATATTTCTAAGATAATAAGTAATTTTAAAAAACAAAGGCTCTGGATTCAATCTCCAGTTACAAGAGAAAAGAAGAGGGGAGGGGAAGAAATGCATCCTTATAATTTATATCTTATTAGGGACCTCCTCCTCCTCTTCCTTTTGGAGAACTTCTTAGCTCTGGATAAGGAGCCAGAATTCAATAAAATAAAGGCTACTAAGAAACAAATATTAAGTGATAAAACATTTTTATTCTGACAAACTGGCTTCTTCTTAGATTAGTTTTAAATGCTGTAACTAATTTTACACGGGTGGCTTTTTCTTTGGTTTTATCAGAGCCCGCTCTCCAACTACCTTTATTTCAGCTCTGATCAAAGAATTCGGAGATGGTAAAGACCAACTAACTACTGAAGGTATCCACTCTCAGAGGTTTCCATCCCTATACAATGTGGAAGCCAAAACAGCAGACAGACCATTTTTGTCCATATGTAATTTTTTCCCTTCAGTTTGTTTTGTCAACACAGGGAATATATTTGCCTGTGTTAACTGAATTGGAGTTTACAAACACTGAATTTATACAATTTTGACCTATTAAATGTTTTTGAAGGCATTATTTCTCAAACTATCCTCCCTAAACTAGACATATTAGAATCTTCTGGGAGTGTATTAGAAATGCAGAATCCTACCCATGAATTATTAACCAAAATTTCAATTTTAGCAAGATCTTCAAGAAATGCACACAGTCAGCAGAGATGAGACCCGGTTAGAAAGACTTTGGGGGTCTAATGGAGATGTATCCCAAAAGGGTCCAGTCCACTGCCAGCCACTTTTGATCACTTCTGTTTTGTGGTTTAAAAAAGGTACAGGTTTTCCTTGTAGACTAGGACTACTTCCTTTATGATCCTGGTTCTTCTTTTCTTTCTTTCTTTTTTTTTTTTTTTTGGTATCAGGGATTAAACTCACGACCTTGTGGTTACTGGGCAGGTGCTTATGCTACTGATCTAAATTTTTAGCCCCCTCCATGTTGTTTTTGAGACTCAGAAGTAGGAGAAATGCCACAGGTAAGCTCTACATTTGTTACCTGCTGCATTTGAGCTACTTTGATGGAAGTCTGAAACTCAGTTGTGTTGAAACTGCTGATAATATTATTATTTTAAAATTCTGGCACACTGATCTAGACCTGGTAGATCCCTTTGTTGTCTGACAGAGGAACTCCCAACTGGCACCTGTTTCTCCACACTGTCCACACTCTGCTATCAAGAGTGTAGCTATATGGATAGTTAATTCAGCTCTGGTAACCCTACCCCTCTCAGTAAACTACTCTTAATTGTAAAGTCTCCATGTTATCCCCTTATGAGGTTGAAACTGATGCCAGTGGTAGAGAAGGACCCTAACCATTAATGACTGCTATTTTTCTCTCTCCAAGAATGGAGATGGTGGGGGAAAGATAAGCACTCAGCATGAAACTGACACAGTTCATTACAGGCGTAGTATAAAGCACAGAGAATCCCTGTGTCTGTGGGAGAGGGAAGCTTGCTGCTACTGTGGCTTCAACCACGAGATTGGGATGAGGCGGGCTGTGGAGCACAGAGCACAGGCTCTGCACATTCTGGTCACTAGAGTTGTGTGTAAAAAAGGTCAGTGCCCACTTTTTGTATTTAAATATTAAAAATGATTCCAATTTAAACATTATGAGCTGTTATTATTAAGTACCTTAAATTAGCAAAGTCTGAAGAGCCATCAAAAAAAAGGGGAAACAACTTATTACTAGTTGGTATAAGCCATTCCTATTTAACAAGCCGTATTCTGTATTCAAATGCAGCATGCCTTTAATATTACATACACTTCAGTATCAAGTAGCTCATTATTTCTTAATGAAACCACTGGCTATTACATTGCCAATTCTGTGTAACATGTTGCTTCAGGGTGTTCAAAACCAATCAGGGCAGCACCAGTACAATTTCTCAGGCAGCACACTCAGTGCACCTTGAAAGCTAAAAGGATTATTTCTATATTAAAAGCTGTAGCTACTTCAAACTACAGGACAAAGATGATTTCGGATTACAAATATAGGACCTTTATTTTAGCTGAACATGCCAATTTTCTTGGCTATCATTATAAAAGCTCTGATTTCCAGATCTTTTAGCATCAGATTTCTTTTCCATTCAACTTCTTTGCTTATAGAAATCCACCCCATGTTCAGAAGTTCACCCCAACTTATCTCAGGAGACCAACTCCCGAGTCCCTGCTGCAAACTCGCAGAAAAGAGAAGATTAGCTTTTTAAACCCAAAGAACAAATGTGATACCACACAGGACAGGGCAAGTCCCTGAGCTGGTACATCTGGAACATTCTGAACAGAGAGAGGAGAGCACAGCTCCTTTGTTGGTAACCAGAGCCAAGATTCATTAGGTTGAGCTTGGACTAAAACCTGACAGAAAGTGCTATGTGAGCACAGTTTTCATTGTTTTGTCCAAGGCTCTTAATAGTCCTGTCTGGAGGCAGGAGTGCAAAATGTCCACATCCCACACCTAGCCAAGTCTTGAATACTGTGTTTTAAATAAAACACTAAGTAATTAGGCATAAATTTCTAATGAACACTCAACAATATAATTTACTTTTTCTTTTGGGGTAGGAGAAGGAAAAAAAACTGGCACTGATGTTTTCATCCTTTTTAAATTAACAGGGGAAAAAAAGGCAGAAATTCAACAGTAAATACATATGTGACTATCACTGGCAAAGAAACCAGTCTTAAGGGGCTGGGGATTTAGCTCAGCGGCATAAGCGCCTGCCTTGAAAGCAGGCAGTCGTGAGTTCAATCCCTGGTACCAATAAAAAGGAAAAAGACAAAAAAAAAAAAAGAAACCAGTCTTAAATACTACACTGGTAGGGTATGGGGGCACAAAACTGTAATCTCAGCACTCAGAAGGCTGAGGCAGGAGGTTTGCTTGAGTTCAAGGCCAGCCACGGACCCTGTCTCAAAAAATCTCACCGCCCCCACCACCAAAAAAAAAAAAAAAAGCTCATTAGAATACTAAAAAGCTTAAAAATAAAACAACAAAAAAAGGCCATCACAAAAGAAACCTCCCCAAAACAACACTCAAAGTCCAGAATTGATCAGAATTTATAGGCTCACAAGAAATCTGTCATGAAAAGACATATGTAAAGAATATTATCCCCCAATCATATGTGGCAATTAAAATGGCAGAGGTCTCTTTAGAGGAATGGAGGTGAAACAGAATGAGCCAAGGCACTTGAACGACACAACATCCTCAAGATTTAATAACCATGCTGTCTAGGAAAAGTTGATTCTTCAGATCCAATCGATCTTTTTAAGACAGAAGAACAACTCAAGGCCTGAATTTTAATTCTAATTCTAGGCTTTTATAACTAGTACATGCTTTACCTAACAAGGCTTACAAAGAGCAAACACAGACTCTTGATTATCTCTTCAGGCTCATCATCTGAAGAAGCTCCTTTCTCACTGTTCAAACTTATAAAACAATCATCCTAATAAAATAAATGTTCCTAAATGTCTAGGATAACAACTTTGTTTTGTGTTTTCCATCCTGAAAGTGTTTTTAGACAATTACCTCACCTGAATCTTTATAACAACCCACATTTAGGCAAAATAATATATTCTCTCCATTTCTCCATAGATTAGGAAACTGCCACTAAAGATGACATGACCATTATCCTAGATCATCAGGCTTGTTTTTTATGGTGTATGGACCAAACAAGGATCAAAATGCTCAAGGTCAGCTATAGCCTTCCCTATACTTTGCTCCCCAAGATACCAGCCACAGACAAGCGTTTGAGATGACTTCTCTATTGGGGATTATGGGGCCTCTCTGTCAATAACTGTCTCTGGATTTGAACTCAAACATATGTCTTACCCATGCAGCCTTCCACATCCAAAAAGGTTTTAGATTTCAATACACGCTTTCGTTTTCTTTTGTTTTCTCCACTTGAGTTCTAAAAAGATCAGAGGACATGATGTTAAATTGACCAATGAAGCTACGAACAAAAATTGCAAATGCTTCAGGAACTCTTCACATAAAGGGAACCAACCATACCACACAGAAGTTATGCTCATTGTATGTATATACTTGGTGTTTTACTATTTATAAGATGGATGTAGCACACTGAGGAAAGTACTGTATTCTTTTTGAAACAAGCTTTTGCTGGGTAGTGTAGACACTATGGTTAATACATAATTAGGATAAGGATCTTAGTGGAGGGGAAAGAAAGCAGACCACAATATAGGACTTTAATGAAGGACTAGGACAGTGTAACAGAAGCATGCAGGAATGGAACCTATACCAGACCAGGGCTTCTCAGCATATGCCCTTGTCAGATCCTTGCTATGGTAAGCCTTGGCATTTCAACATTATACCCGCTAGTTTAGGAGAAAACATGTATTACTAATATTGCTTTCCTTTTATTTGTTGGTCTCTTTCATCACAAGATCAATGAGAAATTTGATACTGATCTTGTAAGAAGATGGTCATTAATAGCAAGGTAACCTGGATAGCTGAAGACTAATATTTACAATGATAGTTATGCTTCACATAATGAATTAAGGAAAACAAATAGTCACAAAACAAGAAACTTGTCAGTATGTGTTTTTTAATACCCTGGTATCTTAATCATCATTATTAATTGGTTACAGGAGGTGCAACAAGTACCAAAAGATTGTATCGGCTGGGAAGGGTAGTGAGTCATGAGACAATCTAAACCAACAATTTTTAGCTTGTGTGTCAAGTACCAAAAAAACAAGCATCATGACAAAATTTTCTGGTCAAAATGCGTCAAATATCAACATATGACTATGGACACTAACAAACTGTTATCGATGCTAATAGATGTAGATAAGATGTAGCTGAAGACCTCACAAAAGTATCATTTCCCCACTTCCTGCCAGCTTTTCTTATCTAGCCCTTTTCTAGAAGTTTCTGAAGAACGACAAACATGTGCCTATGTGTGCGTACCTTCTGTCTTTCACACTTTGTTCTGATGCAGGCAGGACATTTTTCCACACAATTTCAACAGAAGTTGCATAACACAGCAGCTCTGATGCTCAAGGTCATCATGAAAACCAGTTTCTCACACCTACCTCTACAACCTTCCCAAGCCTGTACCCTACATCAAACTTTCCCTTCAGGTGAGAAGAAAAGGAATACAGTACCTATTTTTGTCAAGCTGCAGGGAAGCAGAATGAGACAAGAGCCATCTACTGGCATTTGTGAAGTCTACAACATGAGTCACAACTCAGCATAGCAAATGTAGACCCTTCGGCAATCCCAGTAAGGTTTTACCTTGTCAGAAGGAGGCTCAGGCGCCGTCTTTGGCACTGGGTCAGGAGGTGGAGATACAGGAGGAGGTGGGGATGGTGACTCAGCTTCGTAAGCTCCAGGAGAGTCTGGGATGACTGAAATAATGGAACAAGTTTAAATAAGAAAACTATAAGCTCTAGCTGATAAACAGTCCCTTCCTGACTAGCATCTCTAACTTCTATGTTCAACAAAAGGCATTTTAGAAGCAGTGATTCATGACAACCAAGCATTCTGTAGTTAGGCAGTTTCCTTTAAAATACATATTAGTTTTATACAATTAAAATCAGAGACCAAAGTATTATTAGAGCTGGGAACACCTTATAGATCATTTAAGCTAAATGTTTTATTTTATTAACAGTTATGCTATGGCATGAAGATGGTATATAAATAGCTACTGATCACCTACCATGTGTGATATTGAATATTCTATTCTTTAGTTGAGTAAATAGAGGTCAGAGGTTCCTTCACACAACTTGTAACTAAGACAGGTTTTAAACCCAACCAAGTCAGTCTGACCGCTCTCCCAGTCTCCCAACTCTCCCAGTTCAGCTATCCAGATTACCTTGCTATTAATGACTATCTTCTTATAAGATCAACAAAGGAGATAATCTTCAGATTATACCAAATGCTCCATGTCAGTGTTTGTGACTGTGATTTGAGGGTTACTTGTAAACACCTGAGGTATTTGTTAGGCTGAAGTTTTCCAGCTGGAGCCGGGTGTGGGTGGCACATGCTTTATGTGGCAGGCACTTATGCCACTGAGCTATATTCCTGGCTGTAATGCCTATAATTCCAGCAGTTGGGAGGCTAAGGTATAAGAACTGCCATGGGTTGGAGGCCAGCCTGAGTTACATAGTGCATTCAAGGCCAGCCTGAACTACATAGCAAGATCCTGTCTCAAAAAAACCAAAATTTCCAGATGATATTAAGAGCATAAACTTTGGGGGAGACATCATTTTCAGACTGATATTTACAATGAAAGCTTTAATAATTAAGTACTGCTCAATATCCTGTGTGGGAATTATATCTAGTAATTGTCCGACAGATGAAGTTTGTTTTGCGACACTGAGAGGAGCAGTAAAGAGTGTTTTTACGGAAGAAATAATGCTATGGAAATGAGAAGACAGCACCACCAGAGGAATTCCATCATTTCTCAATAGTTTCAGAAACAGTGGTCCTAGAATGAGACTCATGAGACAGAACCTGAAAGCCTTCAGTGGACCTATGGTTGGTCAGGGGACTGGTTAGTTGCTTAGCTTCACCTGCTCCGTGGATCTCCTGCTTATATCCGAATTCTTAGCACAAGTCTTGGATCTGAAATTCTCCCTGATTAGGTCAGTGCTAACAATTCTGACAATGGAAGGGTCAAGACCAAATGAACTAAAGAGGTGTATCAGAACAAGACCAGAATGAATTAATTTTACAGTTTGAGTATGAAATGGGCCCCCAAATTTTGTAAGCTCTGGGAGGAATGAGGTCTAGTTATTAACACAGCTGTGGAAGGCCAACACACCATGAGCGCTCAGGCAAGAGATCTGATACATCCCAGAACTGAGAGTTCATTGTTCTGGAAGAATAGCTGTTCAACAAGCTGGGCACAATGGTAGCCGTGTTACAGTGATTGGAGGAAAATTTAGGCAGTGAAGAAGCCCAAGAAGTTTTGAGCACTCACGGTAATAAATTTAGGTGTTCTTATTCCATTTCCATTTTTGCAGCCACTTGACTTACCCAAGGAAAACACTTACTCCCAGCGGCACTCACTCACAGCCCTCTCAAAGCACCACATGCAACTGTTTGTTTACTCACATTCCGCCCTCAGACTCTAAAGAGGCAGAAACCCCACATTCCCCTGGTGCTGAACACAGCAACAACGTTTTTTTTCAATAAAGGAAAGTAATCACTTCTAAACTAAACTTGGGATGAAGAGCATCCATATCAAGGAAGAGTCTGCATATAATTCCTTTTCCTTCTAACTTGTTCATCAAGAGAAACATAATAAAGGAAGAAAATGTTATTATTCTCCCCATATTACGGAAAAGAACAGAGGAGCTGAGATGAAGAAGAAATTTGGAAAAAAATTCCCTGAAAGATATAAGGCAGGAGAAAGTTAGCAAGAAAAAGATCAGCTAATTGAACAATTCAGATGTTAGAGACTACTTATTATAAATCTTTTTTAACTGACTTTTGGAAAATTTTTTTTGAATGTGGCTCTAGGAATTGAACCCAGGACCTCAGGCATGCAAGTAAGGTAAGCTCCTTACCACCGAGTTAGATCCCAGCCTTATCTGACTTTTAAACTGTGTATCTGTTGCTTTATTAAACTTTAAAAAAATTTGAAAAGGCAGATCAAAATTTTGTAGACTGTGCAAATATTAGTTACAGTAACTCCTCAAATCACTGTAGCTTGTTTTATACAAGTGAGGCTCAAAGAAATTAAAACACTCACAGTAAATGGAATGGGAGGGATGAGAATAGAAGTCTTTCTGTCTTACTACTTATCAAGTCAAGCCCTGACTCAACAAATTTTTAGTGATGAAAGCATAAGAATGTGTGAAGAATTTGTGTACTTTAAATAGATTCATTGCAAATCTGTAGATCTTCCAATTAAAGTTACTAAGTACAGAAACATGAGTTATTCCAGGAAAGCAACTTTTGTGGAGGCAGAATAAGAACTGTGGGTAAAGTTAATTTCAGGGATTCGGCAATATAACCACTTGTTTGCTGAGTCTTCTGGCAGAGATGGTAATTAAAATTCCTGGAAAGCATTCCCATCTTCCTAGAACTCAGTATTTTAAAAATATCTATCCTTACCTTAAAAGAAGGGTGGGGCCAATTGCTTAACATTCTTCATAAGCAATTTTCAGGAATGAAAATACTTAAACATATCTGTTACAACTCATGTTTCTTCCTAGCAACACAGATATTAATGCTATTCCTTTTTTTTTCACTTTACAAAGAGAATCTATCTAGAAAACTATTAATGGTGATTATGACTCTTGGCATGGTGAAAGAATAAAAATTGGTTCCTGGGTAGAGTTCTAAAAGAAGGTTCCTATGAGTATACTGAATGCCTCAACAGTGAGGGGTTGGGGATAATAAAAAACACTCACTATAAGTCAAGTAAACACTGTTGTGGCATTCTTTGTTTGCTTTTTTTAATCAGTACCAGGGATCGAACTCACGACCACCTGCTCGCAACGCAAATGCTTATGCCGCTGAGCTAAATCCCCAGCCCCTGTTGTGGCATTCTTACACATCATCTTACTTGAAGCTCATAAATAAGACTACAGTTTCTGGTAACATCCCAATTTTAGAAATGAGCCAACCAGCAGTTAAGGAAGTTAAGCAATCTGTCTAAAATCACACAATAAGTGGTGCAGAAAAGAGACCCAGCTCTGTCTGATACCAAAATCTTTGCCATTTCCTCCATTCCAGCTATTCCTCTGCTACTGACTAGATTAAGACAGCAGATTCAGCAAATATCATGTAAACAATGTAACAGAAATCAAACAGTTGTAAGTTAGAGACTATTAAAGGCTTAAATAAAATCCCACTACTCTGAGACAAAGAAATTTAAGAATGAAATGGTAGAGGTTCATAAATTTATTCCGGTGCCAAAAATTATCTTTATCACAAAGAAAAAATCTGAAAGCCACTGCTCTGTCATCTGTTATTATAGGTTGCTCCCTCTATCACATTTCTTTACACTCCTTTCCAAACTAAATAATCCTACTTGTATCTCTAGTCACCCACAGCTACTATCATTTTTGTGAGCCGTGGATCAAAACAACAGGGAATACTGCAGATGTATATAATGGTGCCTAATCACCCGTAGTAATTTCTCAACTCACTAATACTAGACTATCTCACTAATACCAGACCTTTTTTGTGGCACTGAGAATTGAACCCAGGGTCATTCTACCACTAAGCTACAAGCCACTTTCCACACTTTTTTTTTTTTTTTTTTTTTTTTTTTGAGATGGGCTCTCACTAAATTGCCCAGGCTGGCCTCAAACTTGCAGTTCTCCAGCTTCCACCTCCCAAGCAGCTGCTGGGATTACAGGCATGTAAGTATCCATGGCTGGGTACTTCACCTTTTTAATGTACATTAGGCTGACAGCTTCAAAGCCTTTTGTAGAATCTTCCCCAACTTCTTTCCCTGATTGCAGTAGGTAAAACTATTCCAATTAGTGCTTCTTCCTAAGCAATGCCTTATCCTATGTGCCTGCATTTAAATTCTTAACCATTCAGACTGTTTCCTGATGGTCTTTTATTTCATTCATATACTTGGAAATATTTCTTTTAGAAAGTGTAGCTAAGGGCCAGAGATATAGCTCAGTAGCTACAGTACCCACCTGGCAAGTGCAAGGCCATGAGTTTGATTTCCAGTTACCATGTTCCCCTCCCCACCTTGCAAAAAAGCATGGTCAAAACATTCTGATAAAAGACAAGGAATGACATAGCAATGGCATTCACATTTGAATGTTCACAATGCCCTAATTCTACTGATTCCAAATACCCATTAAAAAACCATACCTCGCTGGGCATGGTGGCACATGCTTGTAATCCCAGCACTAGGGAGGCTGAGTCAGGAGAATCGTTGCAAATTCCACACCAGCCTGAACTACAAAGTGAGTTCAAGGCCAGCCTGAACTGCATAGTGAGACCCCATCTCAAAAAGACAAAGCAAAACAAAAACAAAAAATTGTGTCTCAGGCTTTAGGCAGGAGGATGGCCTGTGAGTTCAGGTCAGCCTGGGTTACATAAGTGAGTTCAAGGCCAACCCACGTTAATATAGTGAGACAAGATGCTGTCTCAAAAAAAAAAAAAAAAAAAACCCAAAAATCTAACCAACCAACACCATACCTCTGAAGGGCACTGCTCCTCTCACTGGGTATCAGAGGCTGTGCTCCTAACATTACCTGTGAATGGTAGGATCTAAATCCACTGAAAAAATGGCACTTCTATCAGAGAGAGTACACTACCTGTACTATTTATCACGTCTATTCATTTCTTCTGCATTACAATCTTCCACACATATAATTTGTTTTTTCCACTCACTTATACAACTGAGTTAATAGCTCTTTTTAGGGAGAGACTCTGTTACCATGTTCAGTTTCTCATTAAGACAAGACTTACATTTCTAGTTTTGTTTCTTGGATAGAAGGTTCCTTTTTTCCATTCATTATTCTTCTTTAATCCATTTTAGTAACACAATTTATTTGCATTTGTCTACGCCCCTTCCCATGATGCTGAATTCGTTTAGACTGTATCTCCCTATATTGCCTAAAATGGTTTACGCACACTAGGCCACAGATCCTTGAAGTGAACACAGCGGTTGTTTATCTCTGGCTCTCATTCAGTTATCAACTCAGCCTGGGTCTTTCTCTTAGGCCTCCTCTTTCCATGCATTTTCATTTACCTGATTTAATATGGGATCTTGGCTCTTAAGAATACTTGATATTCTTTTAAAAAGCACATTAAGTCTCCTGCCCTGACTCTTCCTTTAGTCTGTCTGCTTATCTTACAATGTTGCTCACAGGCTAAAACCAAAGGTTCTACAGTGTCATTTCCTTGCAACAATGTGTATGGAATACTTTCAATACACTTGATACCCAGAATATCATAACTCTTAAAAAAAGATTCACATAAAGCTAGCCAAAGGAATAATCCTTATTCCTTAAAAAACAAACAAACAAACAACAACAACAAAAAAAAAACAATGCCTTCGTATGTGCAGTAAAAGAACAGTTCTGGTCAAAAAGCTAATGTAGATATCACACAGAAATACAGGCTGTAAGACTCTGATGTTAGGATTAGTATGCTATGATCCGTAATACATCATTTTTAAGGTTCTTGAGCATAATAAAACTGATCCTCTAGTAAATGAATAATAATGCCCACCTTCATCTTCACTGCTGTCAGACTGAGGAAGTTTGATTCTTCTCCTCTTTTTCTTCACATTTCCAGTTTCCTTTGGTTCATCATTAGATAACTCTACTCGCTTCCCCCTGTCGTCATTCAGGAATAAATTAAGCATGTTACACTGAACAAAAATATAAGTACTCATGCGTGCCTATGTATCTTTTTTTATAACTCGTGGTCCTAATTCCAGTCAAAGTAGCCAATAAGAATTTTTTTTTTTTTTTGGCAACGCTGGAGATGGAACTCAGGGCTTACTGCATGCTAAGGAAGTGCTCTACTGCTGAGCTACTTTTGCAGTACAAGGACTCTTTTAAAGGATATGCTGTTGCCTAAGTACAACTAGGTCACTGCATAGGTTACCAGAATATAAGATTCCTCTAACTCTCTATAGATCACTGAAAGCATCAATAAGATTATCAAGAGTCTTTCTGAATGCATTTCTACTGCCCTGCCAATTGTTCAACAAGCATTAAATAAGCAGCTACTACTCCATGCTATTATTAGAGTGAGGAAGTCTGAATCTTTTTTCTTCAATATCTACAGCTACTCAAAGAAATAGGCCATACTGCGAACCATTTTACAACATTAAGTCCAACAATTTAAATGAGACAAATTTCTTTAAAAACACAACTTATTAAAGATTGATCCAAGAAGAATCAGAATTGAGTAACTCTATTCAAAGGAATAAAATACACAATAAAAGAATCTACCTATGGAGAATATCCAAGCCTGAACTCAATTATAAATTTTTATCAAACATTTAAGAAAAGAAATATCTATACAAACTCCTTCAGAAAACAGAAAACACATCTCTCAAATAATTTTACAAAGTTAGCACAATTATGACACTAAAATTGACAAAGACATTATCTGAAAAGAAAATAATTTAACCACAGACCTCATAAACATAGAGGGAAGGACTGGAAATGCTTGCCTAACACGCTAGGGCTCTGGGCTTGATCCCAAGCATCACAAAAACTCAAAACAAAAACCATATAGGCAAAAAAATTCCTAGTGTGACATTATCAAATCTAATCCAGCAATATATAAAAAGGTCACATCATAACCAAGTGAAGTTCACTCCAAGAAAAAGAAAACAAGGTGGTTTAACATTTAAAGCTCAATTGATACAATTCACCACATTAGCTGCAAAACAATCACAGTAACTCAATAAATGCAGAAAAAGCATTCATTAAATTTCAACATCCATTCATGATAAAACCCCTCAGCAAACTTGGAACAGAAAAGAACTTTCTCAAACAAGTAAAGGGCATCTACTAAAACCGACGTTTAATACCATATTTAATAGTGAAATACAAATGCATTCTTGGCAATAAGCACCAACTCTAAATGTTACGCCCATGGTTGGGGACATTGTAATCCTTCTGTATCATATGTTTCTGGGAAGAAAAGCCGACTGGACAGAGCCTTAAGCCTCTGAAACATCACCATTTTGCTGGTGTTTTTTACTCAAGCTGCTCCAACTTTGCCACAAAAGTCAGGTCTTTGTGGGCCTATCAGTGCTGACAGTGTCCTTTAGAATTTCTTTCAACAGACTAATTCCTACCAGCTATGAGGTAGTGTCTCAAATTCCTGGATCCATTTTTAACAGCTTGTGTGCTTTTTATTTTCTTTTCTAATTACATTTTACCACTTGAAAAATAAACTCATTGATATAAAAAGAAAACAAAGAACTTTTTCTCTTAAATTTGACTGGAAACAGTAACTTCTCATTTAGCAATTTGAAGTGAAGCACACGCGCGCACACACACACAGAGGCACATTTGTGCCATGTTAACAAAGTTAAAATGAAGAAACGAAGGGGAAAAAGACAATTAGTTTAGATCAATGGTGACAAAAATATGACTTTGAGAGTCCTGAATCACCCAAATTGGCTGATTCCAAGTCCTAATTCATCAGATAACCTACTGAGTTCTCTTTTCTTTTGGTTGTAGAGCTGCATCCCTGGATATTAAGCAGAATTTAAGACTCAACTGAAAATTACCTGCTGTCAATAAGCCCACAGACCTTCTCACCCCAGCAGACATTTCCCTTACAAGTGACAGAATTTTCCTACCATTTTTTTTCCTTCTGCTGCATCTTAACAGGCTCTGCTTTTTTGCTGGATTTCTTCAGGTCTGCAGGAGTTGCCAGTTTTGGTTCAGTGACAGACACTGGAGGTTGTGCCACTATTTTTTCTTCTTTCACTGTTTGTTCAGAGTCCAAACTGACTTTAAGTTTATCTACAAATGAAGTATAACAGATGATATATAACCTCACTATGCAATCTTCATCCATCATTCTTTTGACAGTCCACTATGTGCCAGGTAATGTTAGGAGCAAGGGCTAAAGGGATGAAAAACAGTCCCTGTCCTAACAGAGCTCAGGCTATTCAGAAAACATTTCTCCTTTCTAACTACTGTAGCTATAACTTTTCCCATTTCTGCCTCTTGCTAATCTTTTATTATATCACAGCCCCCAGGTCAAAGGATAGTAAAAGCAAGGCTTAGAAAAAACAAATACAACTTTGTGAGGTATCATCTTTCTCTATTTTCAGATGAGGAAAACTAAGAGTGACAGGGATTAAAAGATCCTTCCCATGAGTTCATAGCTTACAAATAATGACCACGGAATTTGTAGCAAGACCTTTCCTTTCTAGTATAATCTACCCTTTAATGCTGGGATCCTCTTACTATCTATTACCTTAATGATAAAATGGAAAAACTACTTTAGTTTACTTCAGCTTTGCTTTGGACAAACTATTTTACCTCAAAATCATTTTTAATATGTAAAAACTGAAGATTATCGTAAGAATTAAGAGATCAGATGGGAGGTTAGGTGATTTTATTCAGGGTGACACTGGTAGAAAAAGTAAGAGCCAAGATATGAACTTCAGCCAGCTTAACACTGCAGACTTCTTTCTCGCATGAAGATAAAAAGCACAAAAACAACTGCTGTTTAAGCAGAGGGGCTAATAAATGCTCCTAAGAAGGGTCCAGCATCTGAGAAATTACAGAAACATAATCCAGCCTTCAGCATGGACTCAGTGATAGCTTTCTGTAAGCAAAGTCACAATATACAATAGCTTGCAGTAAGTTTGGTTACATGTTAGTCACATCTTAAAACCATCTGCAGTGCAGAAAAAAAACCACATTTGTCTTGGCTGTTAAGTATAGGATAGTATAATAATTTATAAATCATACATATTATTCGAAACTATAGATGATGAATTAAATGTAATCTATACTTTTGAAGACCTGACTGGGAAACTTTACCAAGTCTTACATTTTCCATACTATTATCTCAAGCATCAATGCTTCCTGACTTTCCCATCAAAATATTCCAAACTGAATAGGAGTTAAACATGTCACAGTGACAGAATTTGATTCCTGTTTATAGCTGAATAATATCCCATTGTCTGGATATTCCACATTTGTCCTTCCACTTAACCACTATGGACCTTGGTATTGTTTCTGCTTCCTGAGTATTAGGAAAATTGCTTCTGGGGATATAGCTCAGCAGCATAAAAACCTGCCTGATAAGCATAAGGCCCTGAAGTTCAATTTCCAATACAAAAAAAAAATTGCTGCATGGCCACTTCGCACAAGTTTTTTTGTGCAGACATGCAGCTCTAATTTGCTTGAATACCTAAGAGTGGAATTAATGAGTAACAGTTTAAAATCTTTAAGTTTTTCAAAGTGTGTACACCATTTTACATTTCCCACAGCAAAGTGAGAGGGTTCAGTTTTTCCATATCTTTGCCAATATTTCTTACTGCCCAGCACTAAGTTTAAAATGGTCCACTCCCCACAATTAACTTTCCTCATTCAACTCTCAAGCCTTATTTCCATCGCAATGATTATCTCGTGTGTCAAATGCAATAAAGAAAACCACATTTTTACTTTGACCATTCAACCTTTAAAAAAAATCTACTAAATAAATCAACTTTAGAAGTGATTTTTATTAGATGAGTAACTCTCTCTCCCTCTCCCTGTATTACACATTTTAATAACACCTGCCTAGCAATTACAATCAGCAACTATTTTATTTTATCATATATTTGTCTTCAGTGAGTACACAATGAACTCATAAATAAATAAGCATACACGTATGTATACTTTGGTACTTTCTACAATTAGCAAACTTTCATGTGTCTTATTTTTAAAACAGCTTTAAGAAGACTGGTTCCTAAGGTGACAAACACATACAAACAAAGGTGGGCCTTATCAAAACTGCAATGAAACCATAATCTGATTGAGTCCAGTGGCCCATACCCAGCCACACATGCCAGGGACACCAGCACTCTGTGTTTTCATAGAAGTGGGAGTCCTGCTGTATGCTGTGCCCACAAAAGTACAATTGTGCTTCTCAAAAACCTAAAAGTATCACATTTTCTATGTGCTACACTTTCAGAACACAAAAATGGTCATCTCTGGTAACTTTCATGGCAAATAAAATATTATCACCCCAAACCCTCTTTGATTGCCAATTTGACTACCATGGAAAGGCAGAATTCAGATGAATTTTGCTTGCATAAGCACACGAAAAAATGTTTCCCTAAAAAGTCTTTGTAAAACTGATGCTTGAGAAAGTGTGCCTGCCATAATTATCCTTTGGCTCCTGCATTTTTCCTGGTATTCTGCCACATGCCCTCAGGGGACATATACTTGACATGAGAAACATAAAAATATGTGATTACTGGTTCTTTCCATAAGAAAGAATTCTAACTCATATTTTTTAAAATACAGATTATCTTCTCAAAAACTGTTTAAATGGTCATTATTACCATTCAAATTCACACTAAAGTTTAATCCATTTCTGTGAATAAACTGCAAAAAATAACTAAAGAAATGCAAAAGATTTGTTTTTGTGATCGCTTGGAAAATAGGTGTAATTAGGTTGTAGCAGGCAGACGCACCAGTACCCACTATTAAATCTCAACACAATACTGCTGAATAAGTGGCCTCTCTTTTACTTTAACTCATTTTCAGTAGTCCTACGAAGCAAGTATTTCACTTTTCAAGGCTGGAAATAAATGGAGAAATAGTAAACTACTCTCTAAGACATCTCAACCGAGTTCAGCTTATCCAGTAGGTGCATGGTGCTAGCTGGTTACTTTCATCAATATATTGGTCAATATTTACAAATTTATGTTAGGAAGTAGGAATGCCTGGGCAAAAACTAGACACCTCAGTATGATATGCTACCATGTTAATATTCACTTATTAATCAAAGGAAAGTAAGAACATACTTACTCATAGCAGCTTTTCCAAAAAAATTGGTCATATTCCCTTTTCCGGAGGCTTTGCTGCCAGTTGAAGATGCCTTAAAACATAGAAAGATACTCTTAATAAAATGAAAAATTCAGAAGAAATGGATGCTTAGATATACTTGAATTACCAAAGCTGAATCAAGATATAAAAACCCTGAATAAAGCAATATTGATCAGTGAAATTGAAGTAATAAAAACATTATCAACTAAAACACAGAAAAAACAAGGATGATTTTTTTCCTAGACATTGGGTTATTCTTAATAATCTCTCCTACAACAGAGCATGCTTTCTTGATGGTATAATCATTATGTAATCAAGCCAAAATGTACAGGCATTAGACATGAGAACTAATCTAAAACAATCCAGACCAAAATAGTATATGATTCTAATTTACAAAGCTTGGTCATAGTTCTTATAAAATTATCCATTGATACATCTAAGCTTTTCTTGAACAGATTTTAAAACAATTTACATTAAGATTAATGCAGATCAGAGGTAGTATGGTACACAATACAGGGGAGTGGGCAAGACATTACATTTTTAATCATCAGAAGTGGATTTGATTTCCGGTTCTCCAATTTAACGGTGACAACAGTAACTTAACAGTAAATTACCTAGCAAGTCTATCCTCAGTTTTACCACACACAAAATAAAAATGTGGAAGCCCAAATAGAATTGATACAAAGATTTAAACAAAGATCAAACTACTGGCACACAGTATCAATTCAATAAATGTCTATGTTTCTCTCCACTACTCTTCTACTTTTCCAAAGCAGAAGCTTGCAAAAGACAAGAATGGTAATAACAGTAACAGCAATTATACTTAAATGGATTTTAACTATATTGTGATACTTAAAATTCAATGCCCTTAAGATAGTTTAGATAACTCAACAATAGCAACAACAAAGGGAGGTGAATGAAAAAGAAGCCAAAGGAACAGAATGAGAGGGTTAATTAACCTAGAAAGGTATACAGGGTGTAACAGAAAAATATGGTAAATGCTTAAATGATTCAAAATTTTATTACAGTAAAGGATCTATTCCCATCATCCCCCCTCAAAACACCCTCCCTTTCTTCAAACACACTTGTCTCATCCTTCTTGCCACTGTCTGAAGCAGTTCTGGAAACCCTTTTCTATGAGTTAGTTGCATTGTCCTGCCTGCCTCAATGCTGTGAATCAATTCAAAATGGTAACCTTTCACGGTCATTTTGACTTTGAGAAGAAGCAGAAGTTGCACAGTGCCAGATCTGGTGGATAAGGTGGATGAGGACACACTGTCATGTTTTTAAGAGCCTGCTTTTCTACTGGATGACGGTGAGCAACAGCACTCATTGTATTTCTGATCACAGCTCATAGACACAAAAGAGGAGAACTGATTCAGAAAGCAGCACAAACAATGGGATAAGTATACTGGAAGCAAGAGACAGTGTGTATGTGTGTGGGATTTATGGCAATGTGTCTTTTACTGAAATAAAATCTTAAAAATAACCATGCATTTCAATCACACCCATATATATGACAAAGTTCTAAGACGTTCTCAAAATGACACATTGTTAATATAAAATTCCTTGACATTTACAATCTTTGAGGTGTTTTCACACATTAGTCCAGCTGGGTCTCACAATAACCTTATGATGTATACCGGGCAAGTATTAGTATTTTACAGAAAGAAAATCCAAGGCCTGGTGAGAAGTATTACCAAGGAATAAATGACTACTGCAGATAAGAATATTACGCATTAAAGCCAGATGTGGTGATGCACACCTGTGATCCTAATACTTTGGAGGCTGAGGCAGGATGATCACCGCAAGTTTGAGGCCAGCCTGGGCTACACATTTGAGTTTAAGGCCAGCCTGCACTACAAACAAGACCCTGTCTTAAAAGGAAAAAAAAAAAATCATGCACTTTTAAAGGGTTCAAATCAGTACTGTCACAATCATAACTACTATGGAAACTATAAATGCTTTCCTAGGTAGCTAATCTGTGCTGTAATTAGTGCGTACCTTCAAGGAAGACTTACATTTGTTACTTCTTTAGCCTCTGTTTTGGTTTCCTTGTTGGTATCTTGGGCTTTCGTAGCAGCTTTAGAAGCAAACATTCCCATAATTCCTTTGGGGTGCTGGGAAACCTGTTTGGAGGGAGGTGGGCCATGACCATTGGTGGTCGGCAGCTCATTACTGCTTGGTGTCTCATTTGATGCCTGAAGATTTGACTGCTCAAACCTTCTGGAAGATGAGGATTCTGTAGGGACTCTCGGGACTGCAGCTGCACACTGTATGGCACTAAACCTAAAAAACAGGAATGGTGCAGTGAATTGATGTTGGTATCAAAATCTTATTTTAAAGTCTTGCTTCTTTTATACAATACATTCTAATCCTAATATTAACATATTATGGAATTTTAAACTAGAATGAATTCTAGAAATGTTTTGTATAAAACTCTCATTTAAAGAAACAAGTATTAAGAGAGAAGTGACTTGTGCAACATTACATATGGTTTAGTAATAGTGCTAGGATCAGAAGGCTTCTACCAAACCATATTGAATACTCCCGCTTTGGGGGGAAGCAAAGCAAACTCAAGAGTAAGAACACACCAAACAATAATTAAAGATTTAGTAATTTTACCAGCCCTGGGGAACCAAATGGTTATCCCTTGTTTAAAACTTTCCTTATAGGGCCAGGTATATAATAAATTCTGGCTGAATTAAATCTAAAAGTTTCAATATTATTAGGTCTCCCGGCAACTCTCCAGGCCAGTGTGTCAAGCTTTAAAACATGAGTGAGGAACAGAGCCACTGGCTCATATAATTTGTGGTCATTTATGGCCATTTATTATTTTCTAATAGTACCACCTAAATAGCCTGAGTGAAGAATTTGATGAACAGTCTGCATGTACACTTATTAGAGGGAACACTGATGTTTTCCTCATTGTAGATTTGCCCGTTTCATACAAATCTGGAACACAGTGCCCTACACACTGTGAATGGATAAGTGATTCACCCTTCTCAAAGGGTTTTACTTAAAGCAAAGCTACTCAACTTTTCCTAAACAAGAAAAACCTTTACCTCCAATCTTTTGCTTATTGGAGGGAGGTGAGAATGCCTTGAAGGTCTTATTCATGTTTTTTAGTTCAGCTACTCAGCATAATCTCTGACACACAGCAAGTCTGTCAGCAGAAACATGTTGACACAATGACCATTCAAGTTCCTAAAAATGAGACTCTGGCTTCTCATTGCCCCTGAGTTTTACTTCAACTCTGAGTAGGAAGGAGATGGGGGAGATTTAGAAACTACATGGTGATAGCAACTGCCAGGGAGTACAGGCACAACTTCAAGAGTAATGGACTGAATAACCGGCCCATGAAAAAAATCCCTGAGGAATTCTTTCCATTCAGAAATAACTTTAGACTGAGCATCCCCAAAGCTAGAGTCTGTAACTCCAAAAGGTGTCCACTAAGCCACTACGGTCCACACAGAAAATCCTACACTGGACACGGCAGTGCTGCATTGGAGCAACAGAAAGCATTACTTTCGCCCACCGCTCTTCCTCTCTGGTCTTCCATGCACAAGGAAAGGGTGGTGTCTCATTTTCAATGTCAGCATCTAAAGTTGGCCCTGACACAACTGTTCTCCCTTTAGTCTGCATTCCACACCTTCAGGTCAGAACCAGGAATTGGCAATAATGATGAAACCAAGTTAGGCTGGGAGCCTGCCTGAAGACAGAAGAATCTCTGCTCAATCCTAAAATGTCAACTTTCTTCCTGTTCAGCGCTTCTTAAAACACACAAAATTATGAGTCAGATCTCAGTTGGCCCATAATTGTCAGAACCAACCACAAACTTCTTTATTAGAGATAAATTCTTCACATTTCTACCAACAATACTTTAAGTATTTAGGTAAAATTCCATTGAAGTGCTTCCTATTATCACATTTCTACTTGTTCTATTTATTTTAATGGGCCCTGGACAAATTCCATTTTGAACTTTTGAGTCACTTTTATTCTTATTTGCTTACTTGCAAATAGATAAAAAACCCTGAACTGGTCTTCAAAGTTTGAATTGATAAGACAAAATTTTAATAAACTGTTTTTTGAAATCTAATATACTTTATACAAACTTATTAGGGTATGAGAGCTTTCTTGAAATCCTTCCTTAAATGACACCAAACATACATTATTACTCTCTAGCTATACAATTATATAGACTTATTTATCAAATATTTATATGCCTGTTACACTCAACGTTTTGAACTAAAGGAAAAAGGAATTAATATTTATCATTAATTCACTCAATGATCATCTACTCAATGCTTACTATGTGGTAAGGTACCATTTTAGATATACAAAATAGAGACTGTCTCTATTTGGGAACTTAACCTATGTTTGGCAATTCTGTATCTATTTCTCAAGAACCTGTCTCCAAAAGTTACCCACCCCCCCAGTATCTTCGGCTTTTTCCCCAGTATGACTCTTTCTTAACAACACATCTCAGGTCACTCTCAACTTTCAAACTGTATATATGCTTCCTTAGTCTTAACTTTTCCTTGCTACTGCCGTCTCCCCCCTCCCCCATTTTATAGTCAATTTTTCTGGAAAGACTTGTCTATATTAGCTCTCTCTTTTTCAGGTCCCTATTTGCTCAGCTGACCAGAATTTGGTCACTGCACCGAATGCTATTACCAAGGCCATCACTAGATCCAATGGATCTCACTTGACATAGATCCAAATTCCTATCTTAACTTGGCTTCTCAGTAACATACTTTCCACCAGTGCATCCTTCTTGAAACTCTTCCCTTAGTTTCTGGAAATCCATATAAACATGATTTTCCTTTTATCTCTGACTCTTTGGCCCCTTTTTTGCTGCTTAGCCCTTAAAAAACAGCTATCATTAAATACCACTATGCGTCAAATACTACTGTACGAGTTTAACGTATTTTAAGTCATTTAATCCCCTACAGCCCTGTGAGGGCAGCACTGTAAACAGCCTCACTTTACTGATAAAGAAGCCAACAACTGAGAGGTTAAGTAACTTGCCCGTGGTCACATAGCTAATAACTATGGTCTAGAGTTTTATTTTTTCTTTTTAATATTTTTTTAAATTTTATTTTAAAGAGGATTTACCCTCTTTAAAACATAACAAATCAGAAGAAAGCCGATCAGAAGAAAACAATGTAAATGACACAGATTTCAAAGCAAGACAACAGGAGATCATCACTGGATACTATAATGTCTCTTGTTTTCTTCTAAATAGTTGTCCATACCTTCACACACAATGCATTCGTACAAAACAAAATAGTATTAAACTGATTGGAACAGAGTGAAGGCATTATAGGTCTTCAAAACCAGAGAAATAGGAAAATCAACAATGGCTGCCATAATGTCTCTCATTCTCTTCAAAATAGCTTTCCATACCTTCATGTATGTTGAAATTAAACAATGCAAAACACACTAAAACCACTCTGAACACAGAATAGAAGCATTATTGTAGTTTTATTTTATCCTTCTTTTATTCTATATATTCTCTCTGCCTCTCTATTGCTTATTTGCCTATTTTTCTGATTCCAATCTTTATCTTTACTCTTATTTCTGTTCCTTTATATTCCCTTTCTTAGTGTTCAGCAGCCCAGGACAGACACTGTCTTGTTTCATGAGCCTCGGCTTACTATGCAATTCAGACCAGTCTTGAACTTATTAAATAGCTCAGGCTGGTTTCAGATTCACAACCTTTCTGCATCAGCCTCCCAAATGCTGAGATTACAGGTGTGTGTCACCACGGTTAGCACAAATTGAGATTTCTTTTAATGATCAGGACTCTTTAACCTTCATAACTCTCCACTCAACACCACTATGTTCTTTAAGGTAACTGTCATCTCTACCCTGGATCACTGCAATGTTTCTCCTCTCTTATGACCTCATCTCTAGATTATTGTCTTCTGATCTACCTTCAACATCTACCAAGCTATCTGACTAAAGTGCACTTCTGGTCAATTCACTCTACCCACTTAAAATTTTTCAGTGGCTCCAAATTCCCTAAATAAAGTCTACATTCCTTACCCTAGTAATCAAAGCATTATCAAACCCCAATTAATACTCTCCAGTCTTCTGATTTCCTACCTGAGTTTCAGCTGGACACTTTCTGGGTGCCACACAAGCACTGTGATTTCTCTTAGCTCTGTCCTTACTATCTCACTTCTTTGCCTGGCTATTTTATTGGGCCTACAGGCCTCTACTTAGACACCCTAACTTTTAGGAAGCCTCCTCTGTTTTGTCCTTTTGCTCTACCCATCAAAAGTGACAGAGAATGCAACCCCCACATCTGTCTACAGTACTTCTCCTATGACAACACTGACATACTATAGTGTAACTGTTTGTCTCCCATCAAACCATCAATCCCAGAAGCAGGTACTGGACCATATTCCCTCTATGGTGTATTGCATATCAGAGAGATTCCTTGAATGTTTATTGAATGAATTCAAATTATCTCATTTAATATGTTTTAAGGAAGTATATATTCACAATACATTTGAGCCCTCGCTATCTCCCCCACAAATCAAACATTATTATATCTAATTTAAAGATAAAGACACCAAAGTCAAAGTTGTCCAAAGCCAAAGGGCTATTAAGTAGCAAAGCACAAATCAAGCCTATGATCATCAATTTCCAAAATGCACATAAATAGCCTATCACTTCTCAGTGCTGTGAGAGATACAGAAGATTTACAACATCTAATTCTGGCTATGAAACCTCAAGAAAAAGTTGCCTGGAGATGGAAGGTATAGGGATATCAGATGAGGAACAGTTCTCTGAAGGATAACATCTGACCAGGCTCTTGAAGGACAGGTAGAATTTAGACAAGCAAAGACTGGGTAAAGGAGTAAAGAGGGGCACAACAAATATTTCTGGTAATGGTGACAAAATAAATATATGAGAAATAGATTTATGAGGAGTCCACTGGGATTTTCAATATGGGTTGTGGCTGCTATTTTTCACCTTATGATGTACTAATAAAACGAGGCATGTGTCTTACTGCAAGATAAATGGGGTTTTACTAGACTTGGCACTCACTCTTAAGAGGCAGCCACTGTGTAAACATCTTACAAAGTCAATTCGTAAAGAAGCCCACAAGGAACATTAAGGAGCTTACTTGCTACAGTGCTGCAAGTTGCTCTTAAGGATGTCATAGTCGGTATTGAACAGAGGCCCACTGTCCTTTAGCATAGCTTTCTGGATGCTGTACACATGGATGCTGGCAGTCACAGCTAGCTTGGACTTCACTGCTACAAGTCAACAGGAAAAGTAGTCTGTTAATACACAAATTTCATAGCATGTGGGAATTTTAACAAGAAACCCTTCTACATTAAAACCATTTGCAATTTGTGGTGATCCAGAAAACTCTAAAAGGTTCAAATAGCCACATATGTGGTATAACATCAACTCTTCTGTCTGCAGTGGGGACATTATGACAAGGTAGGTGGTGGTGAGTCATTTTTAAGTACAGCACCTGTGAGGGTATCACTCATCCAGTGGATACTCAAGAAAATATTAACAAATGATTAATGATGACTGTGATGACTACCCCCAGCTGCCCAGTCAGGGAAGAACCTTGCACTAAACACATAAAGAGTACTAAGTAATGTATACCCAAGAGGACTGAAATTTATATCAATTTTAGTTTATAAAAAGCAACTATATAATACTACTACTAACTAGGCAAGTCTACCGAAGAAAAATAAAAAAACATCAGAACAAATTTTAGATTCTACAATATGAGGGAATGTGCCTAACGTATTCTATGCCCCTAGTGCCTAGTACACAGCCTGGCATGTAATAGATAATGCAGGATGCAGAAATCTAGAGTTGTCTACCTTGTAGGCACATCTGCCTACTAAATTCAGAAAGAAAAAAAAAAAATCAATATTCATACCACCTTGAACATTTCAAAACTAATTTAGTAAGAACCCTTCTATTCCACTGGAAGGAGCCTTTAGTAAAGTTTTGTCTTAGGACAGGTCCAAGACCATGAAGACTCTAGTACAAAATAATTTTTGAATTGAGTTTTTAAACAGTAAAATAGTGGCATTAACAGTCTTGAAATAATTGGACTTCTTTACTTTATAAACATTTCCTTTAGAAAAGCATTCTGTAGTTTAAAAAAAAAAATCTATTATGAAATACAGCCTAATATTGAAAAGGTACTGTTTCTACAGCTGATGAGATACCCCAGATGACATTCAGGACAGCTTTTTGCATGTCTGTCACGAGTTTTAAAATCTTGTGATAAAAATACTTTGTAAATGTCAGCAGCTATTGGCTTTAAAAACAGGAAGTTAGGCAGATATAGTATCGTATTTTAATGTTTCTGAAACCACTAATAAAAAGAATATAAAATTCTTCAGTGAAATAGCTAAAATATTGTACGCAGATGTTAAGGGCAGACTTTTTATTGTACCTACATTGATGCCATAAGAGGAAAAAAGAAGAACTTGCTGAACCACTGAAATGCTTACCTTCTAATTTATCTTCTCTCACTACTGCAACCTTGTGGCACTGTAAAGAAATAACACTTCATTAGTGTTTAAAATAGTAGAACGGGAAATTTTAGTTTCCTTGTCAATAATTCAATTCTGATGGCTGTGAGATTAGGAAAACATTAGGTATTTGTAAAATACATATTCCACTTTCATAAAGTCAGATTCAATTTCAATTTGTTTAATGAATGGTTGTTACACCTCAATAAGGTTAAGGAAAATAAGAGTATACAAATTGTGACAATCCTATCAACTTAATTGGTTTGAGAGACATTCAAGAAGTTAGTAAGGCTAACTTCAGGGTGTGTCTAGGTAGGTCATGGAGATGTGACTTTGGGGACTATATCTGATCCCTGGCCCCTTCCTCTCTGGCTTGAGTGCAATGGATTTAGCAGCTCTCCCCGACAATGCCCTTCTGCCTTTTGGACAGAAACCTCTGAAACCATGAGCCAAAACAAAGGTCTATTCTTTTAAATTGTGGGTGTTAGTATTTTGTCCTCGTGAAACAAAGGTGCCAGTACAGATATCAACATTACAATAAAATAAAATGAAATAAAGCATCTTAAATCAGTGTGAATAGAATTTTAAGCAATTAGTGAGAATTACTGTATCTAGATCTGTCCCCCATTTCATATGCCAGAATAAATTCTAAATGGTCCACAAATTTAAATGTAAAACAATGAAGATATATATGCAATAGAGGAAAAAAACCACAGGTGAAATCCTAGGATGAAAAAAAACCTTTCTAACTATAATTCAAAATCCAGAAGTAACTGAAATAATCTATAAAAGTTAACTTTTGGACAAAAACAAGTAACTTCTAAATACAAATGATGAAGCAAAAAAATGTGCAACTTATTTCACAAAAGGTTAATCTTTTTGGAAGCTTTCTTCCAAAAATAAAGAGAACACAATCAAATAAACACTATTTAATATCTTAAAAAAAGGCTCAAGAGATATAAACAGACACATTTCACAGTAAAAGGAATGCAGAGAGCCCTGAAACATAATATATGCTGTGCAGAAACTCACTTATAATCAAATGAATAAAAAAAGGAGAGGTACTTGGCCATACCAACAACAAAAATACATAAACATTTATCTTTTGACCTAGCAATTCAACTTCTAGGAATGTAACCTTAAACACTCTACAACACACTAACGAAGATATACATAAAACTTACATCCATACTGAGCTATTGACTATAGTACGATCTGTTAATAGCCAAAAATTATGAACACTTCAAATAACATAAAAAGGTAACTACTGATTCTCCTAAAGTGTATCAGTGAGCCTTATGGCTATGGTAAGGACAAATAATTCTGTAACTGATATGAAATAATGCTCAAGATCTATGATAAGCAAAAAGAAAGAAAAGTGCAAAATAGGTTGTACAGTATGAAAACTTATCTAAGAAAGAGGAGTATTATGAATATTCAGTTGCTTATATCAAAAACATAAAAGAACAACAAAAACAATGGAAGGGAAAGGCAAAACCAATAGAGCTAACTATTGGGAACTACCTATAAAAAGAAACAAAACTTATGTATTGAAAGCAAATGGGAAAAAAATTGAGTTTAGTTACTGAATTGGTGGGTTAATTAAAATAAGAAATTGCTTTGAACGATTATAAAACAAGATATTCTATGCTTTAGCAAGACATATCCTACTGTCAAAGAACTGAAACGAAATCTTAAAACTTTTCAATAATCATATTGCTAGTAATAAGTGTCCTGTTTTTCCAAACCTCATGTATTTGGTTAAAGCAAATACATATTTATGTTAATGTTAGGAACCACCAAAAACCATAACATAAGAGAACAACACAAAAACAAAGCAACTTTTCCTTTCTTCTTCTTTTTTTTTTGCAGTGCTTAGGATTGAACCCAGTGCCTCAAGTATGGCAGGAAATAAAAGTTTTTTTTTTCCCCCCAAATGTAATCATAAATCTGAGTGAGACTATTATTAAGGTTTAATGTTTTCTTTTAAAAAGAATAAAACAGGCATTCCTAAAAACTGTTATGTTCTGCAAAATGCACATTACAAATTATACCTGATAGAAAAAACAACATTAGGAACTAACCACTAAAAAGTTATGCAGATTTGTAGTAAGACCCTTAAAGGTGGTAATTCATAAATAAAGAAAATCTGTAGAACTAGGCAGTTCAGTGCGGCGGCTTCCTTGGAACACTGAAAATGCATGTGAACAGTGGAAGTGCCAGCCTGCTAATGGGAAAACAATGCAAATCAGTGTGGAGCTCTAATTCACAGGGTTCCATGGGGTGAGCACAAGTTTTGCATCTACAATCTTAGAACTTGGCAAGACAGAAAGATTCACTCTTCCAGTATTTCATACATTAGGATTCAGATTGAGATTTTGTTTGCAAACGATGACTGGAATTTAAATGTCTTCTTAAATTTAGCAATACAAAGCACTGTATCAGTAAGCCATAGCATACAAGTTTTCAACTTCTGCTATAGTCTGGATCCTAAATGTCCTCCACTCGAAGAGTGGACACACATGCTTGTAATCCCAACACTTGGAGGCTAAGGCAGGAAGATCACTGTTAAGTTCAAAGTCAGCCTGGTATACGCAACTCCAATACCAGCCTGAATTAATTACACAGCAAGACTCTGTCCAATAAAAAAGCCCCCTCACCAAGACCCCTGTGTTAAGGGGGGTGCTACAGTAAGAGAGGGTAAACTTTAAGAAGTAGGACTTAATAGTTTTAGATCACTGGGGACCCTGGACCACTCATCTCTCTCTTCCCTTTCCAGCAAGAGATAAGAGCTTCCTTCGTTATGTCCTACCATAATGGACTGCTTTACCATAGGTCCAAAAGCTAAGCAGGCAACCAAATACGGACTGACACCTCTGAAACCATGAGCCAAAATAAATCTTTCCTTTTTTTAAAGTTGATTATCAGAGATATTTTGTTATAGTAATGGAAATCTAACAACATATATAAGTTTTTGATTATAGGTTACTATCATTTTGAAAAAGTTTTCTCAGAAAAAATGCACCAAGGAAGACAACTTGAATGTATTCTGAGGATTTCATCTAAGAATCTCCTGAGCCCTAGAGATTAACCATAAAGAACACCTAAAGTTCCCAGATTAAAAACCCCTGTCATACATAATGAGTTAGAGTAAAAATCTGCAACTTTAATAATTTCCTTTTTCTGGCTCTCTCCTAAAAATAAGCCATACCTTCCCTGTTTTCAGCTCTCTCAAACCTACCTGGAAATTCTATTGCCTCAACCACTACTAGTCCCCTGGAACCTGTCCCTCGGACCAGGTCCTCTTCTCAGAGATCTGCTGCTCTTTTCTCTTTCCCTTTTGAATTTGCCTCAAAAAACATAGGTTTAGAACCTTGATTTGTCCAAATACAGACTGGATTTGTTTTTTAGCAATAGATTCCCAGCGCGTAGGATTTAAAACTGGAATACTAATCTAGTATAAAACTGCTGGAGCAATCAGTTCCTCATATTGTCTAGCCAGCTTCTTTCCTTACTGGCAAGCCAAACAATAATCAACGTATTTTCAAGTATAGAATCAGACCTCACTATTATCTGAGACATGGAATTAAGCAGACTTGATTCATCTACTCTCACAGAAAAATCTGCCATCAGATTTTCTCTCCTGCATGGTTCTCAAATGGATACTGTCAAAGTTTGTAGTTACATGTCATGTTTTGTTTCTAGATTTAACTAATCTTCCCTTATCTCTTTTTTAGTTACCTTGATTACTAAATTCTTAACTCTGGATCCTAGTTGAAAAGCTCTGCAAACTTCAAAAACTTTTATCAATATACGCATTTCTCTTCAGATTCTCAAACAGATAAGTGACCAAAAAAAAAGTACTGCATCCCTAACACAACAATCCAAAATGGTCTAAATTTTGAAACTAAGCATGAATATGCTTTAAAAATTCTGATCCTGGTGTGATGGCACATGCCTATAATTCTAGCACTTTGGAAGGTTGAGACAAGGGGTCCTCAGTTTAGGTCTGACCTGGGCAACTTCTTGAGACTTTGTCTCAAAATAAAACAAAAATTTACAAAGGCCTGGATGTAGCTCAGTGCAGAAGCCCTGGATTAAATCTCCAATACAAAAAAAAAAAAAAAAAAAAAAAAAAAAAGAAGAAGAAAAGAAAAGAAAAAAAGTGGTAAATTCTATACTATTAAACTTGACTTCATACACAAAATTATTAAAAATATTGTATAAAATTAACCTTCTAGGGGCTGGGGATTTAGCTCAGCAGCATAAGCGCCTGCCTTGCAAGCAGGCAGTCGTGAGTTCCATCCCTGGTACCGATTTAAAAAAAAAAAAAAAATTAACCTTTTGGCACCGGGATTTAGCTCAACAGCATAAGCACCTGCCTGACAAGTACACCTGCCATGAGTTCAATCCCCAGTACCAAATAAAATAAAATAAATCTTCTGGCCATGTAACACCTATTTGAAACTTATATGAATTTTGTATTTAGAGTTGGTTCCCCATCCTAAACTATATTATATACATATATTTATATATATAGAAACCTATATTTTTATATATTTATATATAAATATTTATAATGTATTTATATATTATATATTTATTTATATATATTATATATATGAACTTTCCAAACCCAAAAATATCCAAAAATTTCAAATCTGATGGTACATCTGTTGTGAGCATTTCAGATAAAAGATACTTAACTTGTACTTTAAAGGAATATGATTCTTAAGTAAAGATTTAACTATAACTAGGGTTTTTTTCCTTACTGAATACCTGAGATGTCACTTGAAATCTGAACAGGATGAAAATTGATAACTGTTTCTAGGATACCTTTAAGAGGAAGAAAGATTACAGGAAATAATGTGAGTAATTTCCTAGTATCCTGTTGCCTAGAAAATTGCATTTTAATGATATTATCTCTGCACCACAGCAAAAAAATTACCCACGCTTTTCTCAGTTTTTGACTTAGTCTGTAATTCAAAAATATTCATGTTCTTCAAGTACTATTTTAAAACTTCCATAATGCCAAATATTTTTTTTTCTTTCCCATGTTAGGTTACAGCACTGTTCACAGTTCAAACACATCTAAGTTCATTATAAGATTCTGAAAATGTGAACTGGACATGGTGGTCCACACCTGTAATCCCAGCATTTGAGAGGCTAAGGCAAGAGGACTGCCTCAGGTTCAAGGCCAGCCAGAACTACATAGTGAGACTCTGTCTCAAACAAAACAAAACAAAACGAAAGCAAACAAAATCCTGAAAACTTACAGAATGTCCATTTTGAATGAAACTGCCAGACACCAAATAGGTGACATGCAGTTGGGCTCCTGAATTTTCCTTCCGTTTCCTTTCAACATAATCATACAGCATCCTGTTTGAAAGAAAGCAAATGCAATTCATTAGCAAGAGTTTTTGTCTCATCAGCTCTTAATTTATGGCTTAAAAGTTAGATATAGAAATCTGATGGTACATCCTAAACAGCAGAATTTTTACTCACTCTATGGATAGAGTGCTTTCAAAAGGTTAGACATTATAGATAGGACATGAAGACTGGAATCAACTTACACATTGACACAGCAATTAACTGAAATCTAGTAATAGGCCAAAAGGGACAGAACCTACATTAAAAGAGTGGCAATAAATATATAAAGGGTAAAATAATCATGAGAATGTTTAGTCATTATCTGCTTATGTGATCCATGATAAATTATCCTTTTCTGCACAAGAGATAAAACTAGATTAGTGGTTTTTCTAACCTAGCATTTATATTGCCCTCCACCACTTCCAAAATCAGAAATCATACATGTGTGTTTTGTGGGAAAGACAATTCAGGATTTTCAATAGACTCTAAAAGAATTCATTATTCTAAAACATTAAATACTATGATGTACATGATCACAAATCTCCAGCTCTGAAATTCTAATTTTATGATTATTCAGATTTGTTTCATAACTGTAGAATGCAATGGTTTATTTATTTATACCACCCAGATAGTCATTAACCTGAGAAAGCCAAACACTAAATGCAGAAATAATGTTGCTTAGACATTATTTAGTTTAACATCATCAAAGAAACATAATTTGTTTTTAATTCAAGAAACCTTTACTGAGCTTCCATGACATACCATGCTTCTCCCAAAGACAACCAAAATCTCAAAACTTCCAAGAGAAACTCAACCCACACAGTTGTTCACTTTTTTAGCTTCTATAAAATCATGCTCACTGGGGCTGGGGATTTAGCTCAGCGGCGTAAGCACCTGCCTTGCAAGCAGGCAGTCGTGAGTTCGATCCCTGGTACTGATAAAAAGGAAAAAGACAAAAAAAGAAAACAAAAAACAAAACATGCTCACTGAAGTCCCTGCTACCTTCTACCTATCTCTACTCTATTTCCGGCACAGACTTCTCTACTTCCTCCCGAGACCTGAGGGATTATGTAGGACATGGGATGTTGTTGGTCACCCTGCTGGCCTTGTTCGTCTATTTTAGTGCTGGCAAACCTTTTAGAGAGTCAGCACCAAAATGCAACCCAAACCCAGTTATTTATTGCAAAGTGCCAACACTGCAATTACACCTGGATATCAACATTTTAATTTAGAAAAAAACTCTACATTAAAATTTTTTGTCTTAAAAGAAAAATATAGTAACACGCAAGCCACAGTGTTCGCCTCCACTGGTCTATTTTATTCATCTCGATAGCTTATTCTATCCCTGACAACATCATCATTTGCTCAAGACAAAAATCTGGGAGTCATTATTTTTCCCTTTTCCTTATCCCGTAGTCTGTCAGGCTTCACCACCTTCCCCTCTCAAGTTTTTCTTGACTCTATGCCCTCCAAATCTCAAGATTATTTTAATTCCATGTGTCAATTGCATCCTCCCCCCCCCACCTTCATTATCTATGATGCTGCCAGTTTTAACTAATTTATGTTCTACTATGTCTTAGGGATAGAACAGTAAACAAAGCAGTCAAAGTTCCTACCCTTTTAGATTACATTCTAGAAAAAAGACAATTTAAAAAACAAACACAGGACTTCCGGGAGAACATGGCAGACAGACAGCAGCAGCTATGGAAGCTCTCTCAGAGACCCAGCTTAGAATCCAGGAATGGTGCGGAGTGAGGAATCCTAAGCAAGAGGAGATAAACCCTGCTGACCCAAGAACGAACTGGGCTGAGAGAAACCAACTGGGAATACAATCCTGGTGCTATAACAGGAACAGATAAAGTCTCAGCGTGGAAGCTGGAGCCCGCGCCATTGGAAGCCACAATTTGGGTTTTCTGCTGCCGCTGCTGCGTCTGAATCGGCTCGGCAGAGAGAGAGAAGCGCGAAAGCTCTGAGAATGGGAATCAGTGAATGGAGTTGAGAGCGGGACGGGCGGGGAGCTGTGCATCAACCTGCGGTGAGTGAGGGAAACTGAGACTCTTCCACGGTCTAGGAGGCTCCAACAGAGCACATTCTGGGACCGGGCAGACTTGCCGGTCACTACAGGGCACTGTAGTGACTTCAGTCACATAGCCCCCTCTCAAGTGGGATTGGTGAGCAGTGCCTAGCCTACATGACGCTGCTGGCTGAGACCCAGTAGGCTAGCACAACCCACGTCCCAGCACCTGGAGGTGCATCCTAGCGGTGAAGCCTTCAGTAGGTTGACCTGGAGGGGCGGGCCTCGCATAGGCTGCCCGGTCTGTAACTCCCTGGTGCGCTGTGCGCTGCAGTGAGCGGGAACACCTAGCCGGCACAATTCAATCAGACTGTGGCCGACAGGAAGGAAGCTGGGCCTCCTATATACGCTTGCATATATAAGGAACAAAGAATATGGGAAGAGGGAGCAACAAGAAAGGCTCCTCGGCCCCCAATCCTGAGAAACAGGCAATAGCAGACACGGCACCAATAGACATAAAGCGCTATCTCCAGAGCCTCATAAACGAGTTCAGGAATGAAGTTATTAATGACCTGAAGCAAGACATAAGCAGAATAGTCAGAGAAATGCTAAGCACCACCCAAGAAAAAACAGATGGTGGAATGGAAGATCAGAAAAAGAGGGGAGAATTGTTTGATGGAGAAAATAGAGAAAACATAGAATACATGAAGCAGGTCCAAAGAGATTACCAGGAAATTAAAAACTCTATCGAAAACTGGCATAACAGCTTGAAAGAAACTAAGGATAGATTATCTGAACTGGAGGGCAGATTTGTAATATGGGAGCATGAAATGAAAAACTTCTTAAAAAAAAGAAGCAAACAGCAATAATACAAGGACTAGAAGATGATAAAAGGATCTATAACTTAAGAATTAAAAACATAAAAGAAGAGGTAGGGACACAAACAAATGAACTACAAAAGCTACTCACAGAAATAATCCAGGAAAATTTTCCTAATTTAGCAAAAGGTAAAGATACTCAGATGTATGAAGCATACAGGACCCCAGCCAACTACAACCCAAAAAGAACAACACCCAGGCATATAATAATCAAAATTCCAGAAATCCAATATAAGAACAGAATATTAAAAGCCGTCAGAGACAAGAAACAGATCACTTACAAGGGAACACCCATCAGAATTACAGCAGACTTCTCGACACAAACATCAAATCACGAAGAGCGTGGGGGGAAATAATTCAAGCTTTGAAAGATAATAACCTCCAGCCAAGATTGATATATCCTGCACAACTATCCCTGGAAATTGATGGAAAAACAAGGTGCTTTCAGGATAAAGAGGAACTAGGGGAATATGCAACCACCAATTCAACTCTACAGAGAATACTGCAGGATATTCTAAAAAAGAAAAATACCAAGAATCCAGAAATAGTGGCAGAGGCCATAATGAATGGAGCAGAAAACAAAATGAAGAAGACAAACTGACAACTAATGACAGAAAAAGAGCTCAACAGAAATGAGGCAGAGAAGATTGGATGATAGGAACAGCTATTTTGGAGAAAACGACATCATAATAGGTAATGCTGATTTAGTATCATCTTGTTTTAAAGTCCCATCAAGCTTTTGTTCTTCTGTCTCCATAGGTCTTAACATGTTGTATCTTACTGGATTTTATTATATGTGATAGTATAAACAAAAACTTATAGACAAGGAGATTATACAGAAACCATTGTTCATTTTCTGTTAGTTGATTCTAAATACCCTGTAGTACTGTCATTCTCTTGAATGGTTTTACATTGTTTTGATATATTTGATGCTACAGTATACGAAGTTATACTCAAAGATTTCAAGGAAAGAGACAATATGGTAACTACTTTTATGTGGGGATTATCTTGTGGTGAAACACTATTTTACTTAAATGGTTATGTTTTGATCTGCGCTGTTTTGTTGTTATGCCCTCTTTTATCTCAATCTCCATTTTATTATTTATTTTTATCCTTTTAATTAAAGGAAAAATAAAAAAATAGCAGGATATATTATAGTAACCCACACTGATTTTCTATTAACTTGATTTGAAGCCCTGTATTGCTCTCACCATCTTGTTTTGACTGATGTTCCTCTATTCTGTTTTGCTTGATAGTACCAGGTTCGAAAGTTTAGGCAACAGCTGTGAAGACAATGGGCTTCATTATGACGCCCATTCTGGTTGACTATTATCTACTTTTGAAGACCTGTAATGTCTCCAATGTTTTGGTTTTGTTGGTTTCGTTCTTTACTGTTCTGTTCAATTTTATTATAACTGATGATATAGGCAATTCTATTTGAGATAGCGGGAGGCATGAGGTAACCATTGTTGATCACCTTGTATTATGTTTTTACATTATCTATTATGTCCACCCTTTGGATTTGACGGGCTCTGTTCTGTTATGTCACATTTGGTTTTACTCTCTTCCAAAAAAAGTAATAAAAACTGTGGCAGCAATAAAATCCAAAATGTGTAATAGTCATTGTACAAAAGAGAGGAAAAGAAAGTGCTCTAAATAGTATAACTGCATGTATATTAAAGTGTATAAGATAGACAATGATATTACTGAGTTTTGTTGAATTATTGAACAGAACTGTTTGCAGTCTCACTGTTTGAATGTCTACTTTATATGCTTTAATTTTGTAACTTGAACAAATATTTCTAAGATGACAATATGTAATCCATTAACTAGTGATTTCCTACTGTTTATTTTTTTTCTGAAATTCTGTATAACTTGTACCCTTTTTCTGCGTTTTTTCCTTTTTCTCCTTAAATAAAATTAAAAAAAAAACACAAATATATCAGATGGTAGTTAAGTCTATGGAGAAAATCAAAGTAAGACAGAATGAGTGTGAAGTTTTGTAATTTTACTAAGATGATACAAAAGGCCTCATGAGCACCCTCTGTGGGAGGAGAGGGAACCACCAGAATAGGTCTCTTGGGAAAGAGTAGTCCTTGCAGAAAGAATAGGAAACA